GCCTTTGTAGTTGTGCAACTGGGTATTTGCGTGTTGATTTATTCAGTATTGTAGAGTTATTGCCCTTGAATTAGTAAAAAGTTTGCAATTTTCAACTTGTGTCGCACGTAGCCAAAAAAGTATTTGACCAAAAGTCATGAAACTTAACAGGAATGTTGCTCAGCATGTGGGATTTTGCATGTGGATTTATTCTGATTTGTCTTAATTATTCTCCTATACTTAGTAAATAGTTGCAATTTTCAACTTGTGTCGCACATAGCTCAAACGTATTTTACATAGTCATGAAACGTAACAGGACTGTTGCTCAGCATGTGTAGTATATGTAGTTGTGCACCTCGGTTTTTGCCTGTGGATTTATTCTGTTTTGTCAAAGTTATTGCTCTTAACTTGTGTCGCACATAGCCCAAAGAGTAATTCATCTAGAGTCATGAAACAAGAATGTTAAGCATGTAGGATTTCGTTTATGGATCTATCTAGTATTTCTAGAGATATTGCTCTTGAATAAGTAAAATTTGCAATTTTCGGGTACTGTTGTCATGTGTGTAGCTAAGAAATGTTTAATTCACTAGTAGTCATGAAACTTTACGAGAAATCTTTTGAAAAGGAATGTGTTATCTTGTTGTGCACCTTGGGGTTGATTTGCTTGGAATTTATTTATACGAGCTATTTCGAAAAGTAATTGCCCCTTCAAGAAACAAACAAACTTATAGGCAAAGTAAAGTCTCAACATCCCTGTAAATCCACCTTGCGTTTTGCCTGTGGATTTTATGTTCAGTTTTGTTAGGGTTATTGCCTTTGACTTAGTATAAATTTGCAATTTTCAACTTGTTTATGCATAGCTCAAAAAGTGCTGGACCTAACGGCCTGAAAGTTTACAAGAATGTTGGTCAGCATGTGTAGTTATGCACCGCGAGGTTTGCTTGTGGATTTATTCAGTATTTGTTAAGTTTTTGTCCTTTACTTAGTAAAAGATTTTTACTTTTCAACTTGTGTCATATGTAGCCCAAAATATTTGACCTAGAGTCATAAGATTGACAAAACAATGGAGTGTGGGGGCACTTGTGTCCTATGGACACATTTCTAGTTTAAAAGATACTTCTTGTTTAATCTAAAAGCATACATAAGAAATTTAAGTTTTACACGTTCAATAATATGATTTCTAAACTTCATAATTCAGACCCGTACAAAAGAATGGGTTTGATTGTTTTATGGAACATATCAATCTGTAAATCAATAGGTAATAAAACCTAATCTGTTCGAGTTTTAGAAACATAGCACGTGTAGGTTGTGTGGATAATCTTACATTTTGAAAAACATTTACTAAAATGTATTCTAATGTACTTATATTCTTGCACTATTTTTGTTTGTTAAATGTTAAGTTATATTGAGGCATTCTTCCTTTTGAAGAAATTAAATATTATAATTATTTAGCTTCCAAGTATCTTAATGTTATTCATGTAAATTAAAAGAGTTTTGTTATTCATTGTCACTGTTAGCTAATAAAGTAATATAAACGATTTCAAAAATGTTTGTACATCTGCATCAGGTATATGTATTCCATTTATATTTTGGTAAAAAAAAGTTGGTGCACATTATCTAGATAAAGAGAAAATAGCACTGATAAAAGATGTTTGCCTTGTCTAAAACCATTGTTACATGGATATAACTTGATATCGTTGAATTTAATTTAAAAAAGGATTTACTATTATCATAAATGTTTTAAATTAAGTTAAATCATTTTTTATTAGCTCGACTTTTCTATGAAAAGGGGAGCTATCCTACTCGCCCCGGCGTCGGCGTCGGCGTCGGCGTCGGCGTCACACCTTGGTTAAGTTTTTCGTACCACCCCACTTTATTTCAGAAGTATTACAAGTATGGCTTTGAAACTTACCATACTTGTTCACCATCATAACCTCCATCTACAGACAAGAGTACATAACTCTGTCAAGGTTTTTGACAGAATTATGGCCCTTTTTTGACTTAGAAAGTGTATTGAGCTTGGTTAAGTTTTTTGTACCACCTCACTTTGTTTCAAAAACCATTGGAGGTATTGCTTTGAAACTGACCATACTTGTTTACCATCACGACCTTCATCAACAGACAAGAGGACATAAACTCTGTCAAGGTTTTTGACAGAATTATGCCCCTTTTTGACTTAGAAAAATACATTGAATATGGGTAAAATCCACTTATTGCCTTAACCCTTTGAGATATTGCTTTGAAACTTTTAATGCTATTTCACATCATTACCCCCATCTGTACGCAAGAGAAGGTAACTCTGTCAAGGATTTGTTTTAAAAATTAAGGCCTTTTTATCGACTTAGAATCTTGGTTAAGTTTTTTAGTACCAGTCCACTTTTTGACTGAACTGTTTGAGATATTAATTTGAAAGTTGGAATACTTGTTTACCATCATGGTCCCAAAACATGGGCAGGAGAAGGTAATTTCTGTTAAGGATTTTATTTGAATTATGGCCCTTTTTGACTTAGAAACTCAGTTTAAGATTTTCATTCTTGTCCACTTGTTGACTTAACCATTTGAGATATATACTTTGGAAGTTGGAGTTCTTATGTGCCATCATGAGACCTATCTGTAAGCAAGAGAAGATAACTCTGTGAAAATGTTTTCTTGATTTGTACTTAAAAATTCCTAGTTAAAGTCTTGTGTGCCCTTAAACTGTCAAAGTTTTGTTTTATAGGCAAGCACTAAAAAAGTCGAGCGCGCTGTTCCTTCTGAACAGCTCTTGTTAATATTATAATTACCTTTTTTCATCCAAAGACCATTTCGCTAAATAGTATCAAAAGTTCTTTTTTTTCTAGGGTCATTATTCTTTTGTTTTGTTAGATATCGACTTTATTGTTGTTGCTGTTGTTGTTATATTTTCCTTTAGGGTTCGATTCTGTGAACGGAATACAGTACATACTATTTTGTCATAAATGAAACCGCACGATCAGAATCATTATACCAAGACCAGGTTTTCATTCTACTCAGGCAATGATTGTTCGCAAAAATACATACATTTAGGTTTGATGAAAAAAGTGAATGAATGAATGAATGAATGAATGAATGAATGAATGAAATGAAATAAATGAATCAATGCTATAAGAAATGAAGAAGTTTGAATAGAAAATAATAGTTTTTAGAAAAAAATCTAAGTTTAAGATGGACATACGTAATTCTAGAAATAGTCAATCTAGAGTATTAAACCTTCTCCCAAATGACCTCTCCCGAGTGATAATAAAACACATATATATAAAATTTGAAGTAGATACATTAAGAAATAGAGAAGTTATAAAACAACATAATTTTTTTCATGAAAATTCTAAGTTCAAGGGGGTAATTCTGATAATTTTTGTGCTAGAGTTGTTAACTTTGTCACATATGATGTGGTTGATGATCAGAAATATATATTTGAAGTTTGAAGAAAATACCTTAAGAAATAAACAACTTATAGTGAAAAAGCGTAAAAACATGAATAAGAAATCTTGACGAGGTCGCCAAAGCTTGGTGAGTAGAACATCTCTCAAGATACTCCCTATTGTAAAGACTAAAATTATGTGAATAATTTACATACTGCCATCTTTCAATATTTAAGTTTCATAAAAATGTTTTCACTACTTTTAGAGTAATCACAAATATTGTTATATTTGCCATATTTTAAAGCTATGACGTGTATAATCTTCATATTGCCAAGTTTCATAAAAATGTTTTTACTTCTTTTTGAGTGATCACAAATATTGTTATATTTGCTATATTTTAAAGCTATTTGTTGCCATAGCAACCACATTTTTCAACATATAGAAAAGAATATAATGCAAAGTCTACACATATTGCAAGTTTCATAAAAATACTTTCAGTACTTTTTGCGTTATAACTGGATCCAGTTTATGTGTATATATGCCATGTCTAAAAGCTATTTGTTGCCATAGCAACCAAAGTTTTCAACATAGGAAAAAAGAAAAAGACGTGCATAATCTCCAGATCAAGATTCATAAAAATATTTTCAGTACTTTTTGCGTTATCGTGGGATCCAGTTTTATGGACTGATGGACGGACAGAAGGACGGACAGACGGACGAAGGGTAAACCTAAAGACTTATAAATGTACAATAAATTACATATTTGTTTTTTTTATCTTTTAGATCATAAGTTTAAAAACATGTTTATTTGCACGAAAACAACATATTTTTGTATATAAGATTTCCCTCTGCCAGATTCAGTTAATAAAAATGCGCTGGATGCGTGCGGCAGGTCTGTAAGCGCTCCATTCACGCAGCTCTGGGCTTCCGGGTGGGCAGCACTTGCGCACGCGCGCACGCGTAAGACGCTACGCCTCGGCACCAGCGACAGCGCTCGTATCCGATGCGGGCGGCACAATCGGTCCGCGCGGGCAACCGGCGCGGGCGAGGTCCTCCGGTACTACGCCGCCGGACCGCCACTCCATATCCTTCCTATTATTTTTATTACTGCCTACTAAAATCAGCAATCATTCATCTATATAACATAATGCCTTAAAATAAAAATAATCTAGTAATAAACAACATTATTATTAATTTACTTTTTCACTTTTTTGTATTTATTTTTGCTTTTGTTCTGTAAAATTGTTCCGAGCATGGTTAAAATATATTGTATGCACCGGAATCAAGTTTCTTGAAAAACCTGAAATTGTTTTTGAATTTGATAAACAAATTATTTATTTGTAACCAGTCATATTTCTATGATTTCTATGACAACTATTTTATACACATTATGTTGATATACACATATATGTTGAGACTGGATCAAATGCAATGACGTAAAGGCCTAAAGCGACGATGATCAAAAGTCGTTATTGATCGTACATACATTCTCGTGAAACATTTTTGCCAGCGATGTTCTCTCCAGGCATTCCATTTTAAGAAATGCCCCGTGTTTAGTTAACAGGTTTTCTTTCCTCTAACGACAACGGAGGAATAATGCTGTTTGGTTGATATACTATTTCTTTTTGCAAATTTTAAGAAGTGTGGTTTGTTTAAAGGATCGCTTGTTTTCATGATTTTAAGAGATACAATCAGGGAATAATCTCTATGTGTAGGATACAAAACCGCAAACTTAAGACAAGCCAAAAGGTTTTTTTTATATGGAAATGAATAATGAAGGCTGTATCTCATTAAACATGGTGAATGGTAAATAAAGCCTTTCTTGAATAATATTTGCAATCACACGTTGATGTACAAATCAGTTTATTTCTAGGGGTTTTTGTGATGGCAGACAATTTTGTATTCCTGTGAGCTTCAGAACCGCGACAGTTTAATTACATAGGAAGTGATGGGTATTTATATTAATTGAGTTTTTATTTCAAGGAAGCGGTGATATCACAATAATATTGTCTGTATTTACGATACTTTGTTGGTATACATTTACAATGCCAGTGAAAAGTAAAGTCTGTGTAAACAAGAATAATTTAAGCGTGTTTAACATTAATTAAAGGAAAGATAATATTCTAAAAGGAATATACATGTGAACAAAATATGAGTTTGTTAAAGAAGTCACGTAATGGAATGAGAGGTTACAGATATGGACATGTTGGGAAAGGGTCGTTACATGGCTCAGGTAGAATGACGATAAGAGAACAGCCTAATGAGAATGATTGGCTACCAGATGACCGTAAGAACAATTTAATTAACATCTTAATTCGTATCTTTAATTATAATTGTAAAAATAAAAAAAGCAAAACAGCATCAAAAAATTTATAATTGTAGCATTTTTAATTGACACAGTTTTCAGCAAATAGTGTTTTTTATAATTTTCATTTTAAAATGTTATCTCAGAAATGATACAGACAGAGGGATGTATAGATAGATTACTACATACAAGTCTTTTGAATGCATAAAAATATCGATTAACCTAAAATGCGTGAAGTTATCTAGACATCGTGAGTAATGAATACAAATAAAACTGATAAAAAAATGGTCAAATGATCTACCACCCACATTTGATAGCTTGTTAAAGATAAAATAGTTATACAGTGGAACCTGTCTAATCCGAACTCGTCCGGACCAGAAGAAAAGTTCGGATTAGAAAGGTTTTCGGATTAGAAAGGTTTCCGAATTAGAAGGTTCTTCTACATGTTTTTCATGTTACATGTATTTGCAAAATAGTTTAAGGAAAGAAAACGGGAATGCATTTGAAATTGCATTTAGATATTTATTTTTGCAGTCTCTTATGTTCATTCTAATACAAGTGAATACTAAAAAAAAGAAATGAAAATAAATAAATAAGCAAAAATATTATGTCTTCAAGGGTAAGTTAACCTACGATGTAAAACAGGAGGCGGAGACATAATAAATATTCGTACCAGCATTTTGTCAATGTGTGTTTACTCTTATCCCGATTCAGCGACTATCCGAATTCACTGACAGTTTCTATTAATTTCATTGCTTAATCACGTATCATTGAATCCATACAAAGGATTAAAAGATATTTTTATTATGCATTTAATCAAAATATTATTTGAAGGTGACGAAAAACAATCAATTAAGCAATTATAGAAGATATGAAGGCAAGCTAAGTGTAATTTTTCACACCTTCGCAGATCATACGTTTCACCCATTAATCAAGTGAAATAACACATCAGTTTCGTGTATGTTTACACCTGCAAGATGTGCGATTATTGTTATTTTGAATGAAGGTGTGACATTTGGCAAAATCTGTTCGGATCCGAGAGGTAAATTTTAGGTAAAATAAGAACAAAAATGAAAAAAATCGTCCGGATCCGGAGTCAGGACAGGTCCGGATCCGAAAATCGAATAAAATACCGGACCGTACCACCCACATTTGATAGCTTGTTAAAGATAAATAGTTATAATAATGCAATTGATTAACTTTGAGACAACTTTCAAACTACACTGATTTATTTTTTGTCGATATTCTGTATCTTTCTAAATGCTTAGCTCACTTACACTCTTTGTAGATTACACATCTGAATAAATACATTATAATACTTTATTCTTGGCTACATCCGCCACTGTAAATATATATTCTTTCAATTCTTCTTTTTTACTGTCAGCATTTCCAGATATGTGTTATTGCTTTTGATTTGTGTGAAGTGACTTAGATAGTTCTGATTAATGTTTACTTAAGATTGCACAATTTTGTTGAAAGATATATTTCTAAGATTTCATCTTCGAATAATATCTCCGAATCATCGCAACAACAAAAAGATACATGGCATGAGACATGTCTGCAATCAAGACAGTATTTTGACTCAAATTTAGTGGATTGCTACCTTTAACAACTACTAGGCTGCTCTTAGCCTGGGATTCAGGCGTTCATAGTCTTTGATTATTTATACCATTTTTGCGTATTCATAACATATGCGCTATTCCGTATCCGTTTGTTGTTTTGAAAATATCAATTTGCAAAACAGAATCTTTAAAAAATCGCACAGACTGGAACCCAGGCTAGGCTGCTCTGAATTCAAATTAATGCAAGTCTAGTATACAATCTCGATTGTTTTCTCGTCGATTTATTTTCGTCACACGACTAATTTTGTGTATTATGCATCTTATCTGCACCATATGATGTTATGAAACAATATAATAATGTAACTTGAAAACATTGCTCAAATGGTTCCGGTCTGCTATACAAGATTTCCGCCATAGATAAACATGGGTAGATTTTGATGAAGTGAAATATGAATTGTTATTGGATAGTCGTCTATAATAATTGCTCAAATGATTCAGGTCTGCTTAAGAGAGCTGTGAGAGCTTAAATTTAAAAGGAAAAAAGTGTTATATGACATTTTGTTCTCAACCGCCCTATAGATTTTTAAAAAAACTCTATAAAAATGATCAGTAGGCAATCCTTTATTAAAATTGCTAAAATTTACCGATGTGGTGGATAAAATGTCTGCCAGAGCTTAAGAAAAAAAGAGAAAAAGTTTAAACCACATGTCCCCCTTCACTATTGGGTCGGTTTTGATGAAACTATACACATTAAACCACATGTCCCCCTTCACTATTGGGTCGATTTTGATGAAACTATACACATTAAACCACATGTCCCCCTTCACTATTGGGTCGGTTTTGATGAAACTATACACATTAAACCACATGTCCCCCTTTACTATTGGGTCGATTTTGATGAAACTATACATATTAAACCACATGTCCCCCTTCACTATTGGGTCGGTTTTGATGAAACTATACATATTAAACCACATGTCTCCCTTCACTATTGGGTCGGTTTTGATGAAACTATACATATTAAACCACATGTCCCCCTTCACTATTGGGTCGGTTTTGATGAAACTATACATATTAAACCACATGTCTCCCTTCAATATTGGGTCGGTTTTGATGAAACTATACATATTAAACGATAGTTGGATGGTCCTTTATAAAAATTGCTCAAAATTGCCACTGAAGCTAAAACTAGCACGGAAAACGATATCTACACCAACCCCTGCACAATAATATTTGTAAAATTATTTCCTATTTGACTTTTTATCAAAATTAAAGGTATTCACTTCAAACTTTTTGTTGGTTATTTAGAGCAGGTAGTTTTCTCTGCTAAGCATGTTTGCCGAATTATTGTCCCTTTTCTATGTTGTTTAGGTTTTACCTTGCTTGCTGTCCGCGGACAGGTGTTGTTAATAAAAGAGATCATCTGTTGCCTTCTTCCGAGCATTATTTTTCATAAAGATCACAAATTTCTGACAAATTGTTTCACATTCTACGCTACTTACTTCTATCGATAAGCATCTAATATATTTTAATCCATAATTATATCATTATTAAACACACTGTATTTGGTCCGTCTTTACGGCAGCACGCCATTAAATTCATGGCCATTTTCATGAAAATGTATTTTAAACATAAAATATTATGAGATGAACAATAAAAGTAATTTACACTCTTACAATCCACGTGAATTTCCACAACGAGGTTAAAATACGCAATAATAGACCTTACTGCGTTAGTCACCCAGTAGAAATATGATAATACATACTGCATATCCGGGAAATAATCCCACAAAACATGTAAATCACTTGAATCACGGACATTTTTTACTTCTTAAAATCTTAGCACATTTCTCTCATGTTTAATTTTCTTAAAATAGTCTGGCTCATCTTGAGACATGTAGCTTTAAAGTAGAAATATAAAGCACTCCCTCCTGCCCATCTCCCCTGAAAACAACAATAACAACAACAAAAACAACAACAAACGAACAACAACGTAATAATAACATTGACATTGATGAATCATTTTATATTTTCGTAGCATTTTTGTCCAAGTGCCAAAACTTTGTATATTTAAGAGATTTTATTACAAATGCAAATAGACATACAATATACGAGGGGCGTCCAATATTTTCGTAGACTGTGCAAAGTTGAATAAAGAAGTGTATGTCTAATATAATTCTGGTTGTTGTAGATTTAATCGTAAGTAAGGAATAAAAAAAAGAAAAAAAAAGAAACAGCTCATTTGCTTCACAACTAAAAAAGAGCTTGTATATTTGAAAGAAACATCGTCAAAAGTCTACCAAGTTTCTTGAAACTAAATTGTTAAAATTGGCCTTGCCCGGGGGTCAAGTTGTTTTTATTGTCTGTTTATACTAAAAAGCTTTCTGCTCTTAATTTACTAAGATATTTAGCATAAAACGTTATCTAGTAGTCTGTTTGAATATTTTCCCTGATGTAAATACTGGGCTCTGCACAGCGCTTTTGTGTGGTTTTCTTTGTATTTACATTATTAAAATTTAAAACGCTTCTCCGTTGAAATATCAAAGGCGAAAGTTAGAGTATTTGGCAGGGAACATTGTGTAGGGCCTCTTGTAGACTTAGGGTCAGAATTGGCTCATATGTGGTCATAGGTTAAAAAAATCTCATCTGCACCTATAAAGGCTAGATATTAGATATTTGGCATGTAACATAGCCTAGAATACCACTTCAAATTATGTTCAAATTATCATCCCGGAGTCAAAATTGGTCCTGCACAAAGGGTCACTTTATTTTACATAGACTCATTTTTGGAAATGCTTTAAAATATTCTTCACAAGTTTGCGTACAGTTTATAAACCCTTAAATTCGATAATCAGCCTGTCTCGATAATACGCCATCATTTCCTAACAATCAAAATTAATTTGAAACTTTATGTTTGCAATTTTGCATAATAATAAGGTAATTATGTATGGCAAGGATGAAGACCAGAGATAAACAGGTCAATTGGCAAAGAATTTGGAAATGTTACTCAAAACTACCAGATTTCAAGCAAGAGGCGATTTAAAATGACATATGATGTACTTTTTGACACATAAAACAAGATGTAAGACAAGCTTAATTATTAAACTTTAATTTAGCACCTAAAACTCACGATTTCAACTTCACGAATTCACGATTCGTGAAGTTGAAATCGTGAATTTGTGAAGTTGAAATCGGGAATTCATGAAGATGAAATCTGGAATTCATGAAGTTGAAATGTCCCTACCGGGCTTTCGTAAGTTATCATAAGAAGTCTATCCTTCGTGTAACATGTACACAGTTGAACTTACATGCCAATGAATTTTTTTATCTGTTGCCCTAGATTTTGTCTCGATGGCTTATTTCTTATTAATTGTAGAGCTACAGCTAAGAAATTTAAACTATATTGAGACTTAACTAAACT